TTCAGATTATTTTACTGAAAAAAAGTGGGATTTTTATAGCACAAAAAATGTTACTGAATAACAACAAGTGATCTGTAGTTATGTGGAAAATGTTTCTCACAGTAGAATTGAAGTACAACAGAATGGGCTCTACTAAAATACTTACATCTTAAATATACTTTAAACTAAGAATTTTACAACTGTGTTTATTAATTATTCTCTGCAGTTAAAGTAAAATAAACTATGGGAAATTAATAAACTATTATTGGATTACTGACACTAATACAGGAAGCAGTGCAATCGAATCCCACGCAAATTCACGGATTAAAAAGATTTATTCATTATGTTATTAGTTTTTCTTACAATTGACAAAAAAGCTGAACAATTCAGACCTTCTAGGAGGCTGTAGATTTTATAAAAACTCACCATGACAGGAGACGGTACTTCTCTGGATCTTTCATTTGGAAAATGTTAATTAAGTTTTTAAACATATTCAGTTGACCAAAAAAGGGATAAATTAATGAGATAAGAAATAATAAAATGAGAACATGCCTGTGGTTCCTACTCTATGAATCCAGGATAACAGTTCTTCTGCACATCCTCTCTGAATGTGGTTGGTCTGTTCTTTTAAAAAATAAAATACAATGGTTCTTTTTCTTTTTGTGGACCTCCTATGGGTTTCAGAGGCAAACCTGAAAGTTTTAAGAATTAAAATATTTGTGTTGGTTTAAAAAGTCCTGAATTCCAACGGGAGATTATTCAGCTAGACTGCGCAATAATTATTGATCTTGTGAGCAAAACATGGACTAAAACTGGGACTAAAAAGCAACAGGTAAGGAGAAAACAAACCATTTGATGGGATCATACACTCAGTCTCCATCATACACTCAGTCTCCATCAATAGTTTAAGGTAGCTGCTGTATTTTTATTCATATTTACTCAAGATTGCTTAAAATCTTCAATAATTTACAAAGAGAATTATCCTAGTGCAGATGAGATAAACTTAAAATGACATACCTCGCAAAAACTTTCTTTTTTCAATATCTGGCACAGTGAATAGGTGGGAATATGGACTGGATATGAATCTGGCATGTCATTATGTGTTAGCACTAAGGCTGTATTAAAAACGCGGCCTGGTATTTTATCACCATGGTCTTTTTATAAATAAATAAGTGGAACGGAGTTGAGTTTTAATGTCTGTCATTTTTTAGTATGAGAAATTGGGAATATGGAGTGAGAATGTGTGACGACACTGAGATGGGTGAGTCTCACTCCCAATGGGTGAAAGCAGACAGCCCTGGTTACTATAAAGGTTTGTATTTTAAAAGTTATTTTATGATTATGCTACAGATGTAAAAAACTAAAGTTTTCATACAATTAGAATAATACAAAGGAACTGTTAAATGTTTTGGGGGTTGTTTTTTTTACCACAGAAATGTAGGCCTACTTCCTCTGGGCTGCTTCTATATAAATACCAGCTTCAGTGCCCTCATTGAGCTTTGGTGACCAGCGTGTTGCTCCTACGTGCTGCTGGGAAAGCCCAGGTTGCTTTAATGGTGGATTTCAGCTTCTCTGTTATGGAGGACCAACTCTGCCATGTTTAAAAATAAATACAGAAATAAATAAATGTTCAATAAATAAATAAGCATAAAATTAATTGCCCAAAAACTACAATAAACTAATAATTGAAGGTAGAAATTAGTTTATAAAGTGAGACATAAATGTATGAATCTCTTTTCATTAGCTTCTTTATTTATTCCCCTTTGTAATAATTACCTTATTAAGTTATTGTCCCTTATAATCTTCAACTGTATTTATTTATTACTTATTTTTTAAGTATTTATTTATGTGCATGATATAAAGTTGAGGGGCAGAAGTTGACCCTCTAAGACACACAGCCATTCCTCATTTGCATAATGAGGCACAAATGCATACAGGAATGTAAAAATGACAGGCAGGCAATAAAAAAAAAAAAACGACAGGCACAAATAATTAGCGCTAAAGAAATAAGTAGAGGCAAAAAATACAAAGGAAGAATAAAAACAGACAAAAATATTATATCATGCACATAAATAAATGCTTAAAAAAAGTGGAAGGTTATAATGGACAAATGATAAATAAGGTAATTATTACAAAGGCGAATAAACAAAAAAGCTAATTAAAAGAGACATATACATTTATGTCTCACTCTGTAATTTAATTTCTACCTACATCTATTTCTTTTTTGTATTTTGGGGGGAATAATTGTATGCTTATTTATTGTATTTAATATTGAACATGGCAGAGTTGGTCCTCCATACTCTGTATGTTTGGATCCGGTGTCTGCCATCTTTCTTTTGAAAACACTCCACAGCTTCCATGCAGGGATTAAGTTATGCTAACTTGATTGCTAATTAGACTCATTTAGTAACACAGTTAATAAAGTAGGGCTGTAGATGTTATCAGCCTTATGGTGCCAAGACTCAGTACGAAATCAATGTGTCATCTCCTTAAGGCATGGCAGGCAATGGAAGCATTATGCACTTTGACATTAACTAGCTTTGGACTTGATAAAACACAGGCACACCAAAAGTAGCAGATAGCACAGCTCCTCAAAGCATTACTAGACTGGATAACTCACCTTGGGCCTCAAGCAACTTGGATCCTGTGACTTTCAACTCTTCATTCAGACTCTGTGACCCTGAATAACAACTAAAATACAAAATGTTTTTTTCTTCCACTTAACTTTTCATTAATGAGTTCCAACTTTTTCTGCTCATGCCTATTCTGTAAACTGTTTGTTGGACAACTGGGAAATCAATAGTCCTCTATATGGTTGTTCTGGCCAGAACATGTCTGTAACATATTATCATGCTAGAAAAAAAATCTATTTCTATTGATCTCACTTAAAAGGTCTTTTCAAGTTGAGTTCTATTGGATTTAAGTTTTAAATGAAATTTACCCTTGAAAAATGTTTAAGAAATCTTTATAGTGCTTGAGTTTCGCATTATGAACTAACTTGGTTAAAAAAAAAATAGACTTTTTAGTGATATTCTAATTTATTGAAATGCAGTTATTATTACATCCAACAAACTTTCAAATGTAAAAAGACAGCCAATTGAAAAACGAGGCTTTTTTTTAGCCATCTTTTATGTTCTCCTTACAGATATATCTTTAAATATTTAGATCAGAAGTATATTGGTACCAATTGTTATCAAGAACATATTAAATCGTTAAAGTTTTTAAGACAATCTGAGTTAAACACACTCATTTATTTTCCCAGCAGATCAGAATTCTACCTGACGAATATCGTTATTGACACCAAACAAGGTGGCCTTATAATGACTCACAACACACCGCTGACAGTATAGCAGATTTTTGGACAACAATACTTTTAAAGTTCATGATATTTTGAAAAGTTAAAACAGATTTTTAACCGTGCACCTTTTGGATCTTATAGCACCCAGAACTAAGTGGCACAGAGAAGTTTGTGGATGTCCCCTAAGGAGGGCTATGGGCAGACATGCTTTATAATCAAGAGATTAAGTCTTTCTGTAGTGTGAGCTTTCTGTTACTTTCCATGGTGTTTGGGGTCAGTTTTGACCTCAGTCCTTACAGCAACAAAAATACTGCTTTTTATGCCTAACTCGTTTTATAGGCCTCGGTTGCTCTATAAGGCTTCTTTTTCCTTCAAAAGATTTGTCTATATATTTTCAGTGTAAGGTACTGTGACTGTTTTCTTTCACTTCCAGTGAAAACTCAAATGACGCCCACTGGGATGTTGTAGTAAACAACTGGTTATTATGTCTTAGAACACATCTCTTGCATTTATTTTTAAAATATCAATTACAAGAGAAACCTCTACCTCTGTCAGTTGGCTGATGACTAACAGTGTTTTGTGAAATTGTTTAATTTTTTTCCAAAAAATATTTTAATGTATTTTTTTCATTAGAGTCTAAACTGACCCTCACACAGTAAAGCTATGACTGTTTTTTGCAAAGTATTTCAAAGGTAAATAAAGTTGGGTTCTTTGCTTTAATCAGTTATAATACACAGATTCAGGAAAAAGTCAAATAATCTTGATGCAGTTTAAAAAAAAATATGGGATACTTTTATGTATTTCATAACATCATGGGAAGGTTAAAGAGTTTTTGCAAAAGAGAAGGAGGACAATGTTGAAACTCAAGATGTGTAACAGTAATAGAGATAGAGAGAGTAATAGCAAAGGAGACTATAGGGGGAAAGTAAACATTACTTTAGTTTAGGGTCCTGCATGCAAGCCGATGTACACCTTTAGTTAAGGCATAATAACCCAAAGTAAATTCAGAAGAAGGCAACTTGACTTGTACTCCTCTTTCAATAAAGACATTTTAACTCTCATACATAGGAATAAAAGGTAAAAAAAAAAGAAACAAAAAAAAACACAATAAAGCATTGTGCAAATACCCGACCAGGTTATTCTGCTTTTTTATTTAAAGGAAAATTACATAATATTGTAAAAAACATACAAAAATAATAAGACAACAAATGGAGAAAAGAAATCAGATTTAGAATCAGGTTTTCTGGCCAAGTTGGTTTGCACTTACAAGGAATGGTGGTATATATATATATATAGCTATATACAATTTAAAACATACAATATACAATATAAATAAAATTATGTGTTTTTTTTACTATTAACTATTAATTATTAATAATAATTAATAGTAATTAATTATACTATTAATTATAAGTTTTGACTTTTTTATTCTTTATGTAATTATTAGACTACTTTTTCCCAACAGCACTTTGATTTCTTTTATCTCTGCTTTGATAAAATGTCGCCCTCTGCTGGTGTCCAGTTGTATTGCCTCGTTAAAATCGCATAGCTCAGTGTTTCTCTCTGTGCTGACACGTCCTTCTAGATAAGCAGATTACAAACCCTCAGTAAAGCTCGGCAACATATCGCACTGGAAAATCGTGCAAAAAAAAAGACTAAAGATAATTTTTTTAGCATCATAAAATGATAATGCACTATGAGGGTTATTTATTTGCCCGCTTTTCCGTAGTGAGCCGCAGAAACGCAGCAATAGTAGCTCCGCCCTCCGTTGCTGCAGTTCCTCAGAAGCACTGGCTGCAGAGTAAACCTTTGCCCTGAGCGCTCTGCTAAAACACCAACCAGCGAGCATTTATTTTTTATTTTTCCCTGATTGCTATTGAGGAGTATGCATGCGGATTATGGACAGGATTAATGAATGACCGTCAATATGGATTAATCATCCGATTAAGGTCTGCAGAACGGACGGCTTGTCTGCACGCTGCTTCCATAATAGCTCTGCAATGTATCAAGCGCTCCGGACGTCTTTACTGTCAAGCGCCCGTTGCTGGGATGCCGACAGTGAGCGGTCCTACCAGGTTCTCTTTGATAAACTTGACACCAATAAAGATGGCAGGGTGGATGTGGCTGAATTACGAGCGGGCCTTAAGGCGATGGGGATGTTTCGCCACGGTGCAGCACAGGTAACCTGAAGCAGGAGATCCAGTGTTCTGCCAGAGATTTAAGTTTCAAGTCCTGGGTTGATCTTTCAGGGTTTCAGTTCTGATTCTAGATTCTCCTCTCTGTCCTACTGTAGAAAATCGTGTCATCTGGAGACCGGAACAAGGATGGGTGTTTGGACTTTAACGAGTTTACCAAATATCTGAAGGAGCATGAGATGAAGCTGATGCTGACATTCAAAAGTCTGGACAGAAACAACGATGGTAGGAGCTGGAGAGGAGGATTGGTGTTCACACTGGAAGCTCACATGTTGCCTTTTTTTTTTAATCCAAACTGCATCACATTTCATCTGATCTTTCTTTTTGAATGTGTTTTCAGGGCACATTGATGCCACAGAGATCCAGCAGGCCCTTGCAGAACTGGGCATAGATATCAGCAGGAAACATGCAATGAAAATCTTACAAAGGTTAGACCTTTTTTTTTAAATCCATGATCTGCAAGCTGTTTGTTTTTTTTTCAAAGGCATGCATGCATAGTCATAATTTAACTTTTTAAAACATGGAAATAAAGAAAAATTGTTTGTGGATTCTCAGCATGGACATCGATGGAACCATGATGGTCGACTGGAACGAGTTCAGAGAGCACTTCCTGTTGTATCCTGCCTTCAACCTGGAAGAGATCATCCGCTACTGGAAGCACTCCTCGGTAGGGTTCAGACACAAACACTCTGAGGCTGCTGCAGTGGAATAAATCACATGTCCCTTCACTCCTCTTCTGTTAGATACTATAGATTTTCTTTTTGCAGTTCACAACTGAGAGCAGCTCTCCTTTTTTTTTTGTTTGGATGAGTTTCCCTCAGCGTGCTTTTCCGTTTCTTTCTAAATTGTGCTGGTCTGGTGTTTGGACTGGTTTGTTACCCGCACAGAACAGAGCCTCGCTTGACAGAACCTGTTCCTGAATGTTTCCCTGCATACCACAATGAAATCTGTCACAGCAGTGACTGCAGAACACATGCTAACTGGCTCTGAAATTCCCTTGTGTTCCCACAGCTTTATATCAGATTGTAATAGATCACTGGTTTCTTTCTGAGGAACCCTCATGCTTAAGAGAAAAGCTTTTAAAAATAATCTAAAACAGGATCAACATGTGAGGCAAAGGGCTCATAACTTTTCCTAATTTAAAGGACAACGCCATTTGATTTTTGCTCCCTTTTTTTCAGTGGGATTTTTAAATGGAAACTGTGGCGAGGTTGACGTTAGTCAAGGCTTTTGGGTTGCAACTTTACATTCAAGGTTAAGTAAATGCTGTCAGGCGAGACGTTAACATTGTTGCTACACAACTGCGAAAACAGAAAGCAGAAGTTGATCTTGCAGGGTTCTTGTCTCTGGCCACACACACCATATGCTGTCACTTTAAGCCCTCAGCTATTTAAAGTGCAGAATTTAGTCATTCAATTGTATTTGTTGCAATCTATTCATGTCACCCATTCCTGTTGGAAAACCAGCTGTTTACCCATTTGATCAAAACTAGTACCCTACTTTTGTAAAAGGAAATTGCTCAGCAGGAAAAGTGAGCCAGTCTGTCATAAGATAAAAGATGCTTGAATGCCTGCGGTGCTTTAGTTCAGTTAGTTTGACATCAATATGCACCAGGATACCAAGAAAGCTGCCCTCACCAATGTATTTTTACAGAACAGCTTTTATTGATCTGAGAAGGCAAAGATGAACATATTTGGTCCCAATGAGAAAACAATAATACATTTGGAGGAGTTAAGGTGAGGCTTTCAATCTTAGGAACATTTTAGGCACGGTGGGGGTAGCATAATGCTGAGGACCTGTTTTTTCTGCTGTATTTCAGTTGAACAAGAGAACTGGATAATAATAAAGGACTCATAGAACCTGAAAATCTTTAACTTAACCTCAAATGATCAGCTAGACGGCTAAAACCTGGAGAAATGAAATGCTGAGCATACAATCTGGAGATACAGCAAGAAGTAAATAGAATCATGACAGAACCTGTTGACATTTAATGGTGGAGTGTTTGTAAAGCTTTCAGGTGTCATTTTGTATCTGGCATCGGCAACAAACTGTTGAATAAAAGTCCAAAATGAACCTGACATTCAGCTTTGAGTGGGGTCATATGAACTGACGGTGCTTAAAGTAGATAATCTGTAATGATTGACGCAGTCAGTGTTTAATTCTGATTAACATAGGGAAAAATGTTGGTTTAATCTCTAGTTCCTGGACATTGGTGACAGCCTCTCCATCCCGGATGAGTTCACGGAGGAAGAGAAGAGATCAGACGAGTGGTGGAAGCAGCTGGTTGCTGGTGCTGTGGCGGGCGCCGTGTCTCGCACGGGGACGGCCCCTCTGGACAGGCTCAAGGTCTTCATGCAGGTTGGTGATGTCAAATACACGTGTGTGTGTCTGCATGAAACTGTTGGGCTAAAGGTGTTTATGTTCACTCCAGGTTCATTCCTCCAAAAAGAACAAGATCAGCCTGATCGGGGGGCTGAGACAGATGATTGTAGAAGGAGGTCTGACGTCGTTGTGGCGAGGAAACGGGATCAACGTTTTAAAGATCGCACCTGAGACCGCAATCAAGTTCATGGCCTACGAACAAGTTCAGAACCCCATCTCAGATTTTTTCATTAAATAATCAGGTTAAGGTTACAGCTGGCAGTAACAGTGGATGTTATGTTTTCTGTTGCAGTATAAGAAGTTGTTAACTTCAGAGGGAAAGAAGATAGAGACTCATAAGCGGTTTATGGCAGGGTCTCTGGCTGGGGCCACAGCACAAACAGCCATCTACCCAATGGAGGTATGGCTGCCCACTTCCACTCAGGATCCGATCTGGGTCATTAAATTCACTAACAACAAGACAGCATGTCCTGAATGTTTGCCACTTTTGTGCTGTTCTTCTTTAAGGTTTTAAAGACTCGGCTGACCTTAAGGAAAACCGGCCAATACGCGGGAATGTTTGACTGTGCCAAGAAGATCCTGAGGAAGGAGGGGGTCATTGCTTTTTATAAGGGCTACATTCCAAACTTAATAGGCATCATTCCCTATGCAGGGATAGACCTCGCAGTTTATGAGGTGTGTGCAGTGTTGCCCTGTCTAGATATCGTTTCCTTTTCCGGCTTTAGTCAAACCTTTTTTTTGTTCTTATTTTTTGTGTGTCAGACTCTGAAGAGCACTTGGTTGTCTCATCACGCCAAAGACTCAGCTAACCCTGGAGTTCTGGTGCTGCTGGGTTGTGGAACCATCTCCAGTACCTGCGGCCAGCTCGCCAGCTATCCTCTGGCTCTCATACGCACACGGATGCAGGCACAAGGTAAGCCCCAACCGGCAGATCGGTGGAATAGATCAAATGTAAAACCTTACTTGTTGACTCCTGTCTGGATTAAAGGTATAATGAAGGATTTTCATGAATTTTTGAAGATCTATTTATCCATATTAAATGGATTAATATGCATAAAAATTGATTTTTATCCAGTTTTATCCATTTAAAAATAAAAAAATGCACATGATCAACCCTGTACCCGCTCCCGAGGGAACGCCTATTAAACACGTGGACGAGGAGAAATGGACTCGTGCACGCTCTGTTTAAAAGTTCCTATTTCCGTGACTCATTCAAGCTAACTTCCACTATGTCAGTGTCACCACTGGTGAGTGAAAATGGGGACGAGCAGGTAGGACGACCTTACCTAAACATATCAGCAGAATGATGGACAAATAGGAGGACAATTTATTTTAAAGATCCACCTGGAAAATAAAACATCCTCCACTATATCCTTTAACTTAAGCCATTACATTTCAATGAAAAACAAAAAAAAAGCATTTATTTCAGCTCATTTATAAGTGTACCTTTAACTAATACGCCCATTAATTTCCAACAATTTTTTTAAGACTTAATACATAATTTGCATTCGTTGTCACATAATTGCACACTTGCCGTCACCGATGGTCCCTCAGCTGGAAAAAAGACCCATATTTATGCTGCCACTGCTGGCAAGAGGAGTACATTCAAAACGTCATCCAATGCTAAACATTTAAAATACCGACAGTAAAAACAGCTTTGAACTTAAGGAACTGGAGAGGAGAGAAGCGGTCAGCAGAAGGAGGTTATACAAACTATTTAAAAAAGGAATTCTAATCTGGAGGTGCTTTTATGTGACTGATTTTAACTTTTCTAAAACCGTGTTGCGCAGTAAATAAGATCTTCTAAACATTTTATGTAAACACTTCCACAGAAGTCCTAGATTATAAAAGTTTACACTAGAGAGGTTCTCATTTTGTTTAGTTAATTTAAATGTACTGTTAAACAATTTATCATTGACAATAAATTAATATAAAACATATTTTTCTGGTTTATTTAGCTTGGGCATGTTTGCCCTATAGCAATTATTAGTTTATGCAATGTTATTCTGACCTCGTAGTTCATTAGCTATTAAAGTTTTGACTTTATTTTTGGTTATAAATATGGAATTAAGTCAATTTTTCCATTGTGATGGTTGAAGATTAGAATTACAGCTTTATCTGTTGCGCAGTGACTCCCCAGCGTAATGACAGTCTTCATGTGAATTTAAATGATTTACATTTTGACGGAAGGGACTAGAGTTAAGCCTCTACTCGATTTAAAATAAAACAAATAATAACAGCTGGTCCACAAAAATATTAGAGCACATAGATAACTTTGTGAACTGGACTAATTAACTATTTCTCTAAAGCAGATCAGTGAGTTTTGTCCAAAAGGTTACAGGCATTGATATCTAAGCAAAACTTTATTCAGTGTTCTTAAAATATTAATGCAACTCATCAGCATGTAGTTCCTGGATTCAATCTGAAATAGGTATAATTTACTTCACTGCTTTGTTATTGTTATTATAACAAATTGGGTCATTTGACTCTTTTAAATATAACAGATTATTAATTATTATTATTAAACATTGCTAACTAAAGGTGACCTCCTGCTTTTAGATAAATTGTCAATAAATAACTTTTTTTTCTTACAATAGATGCTAAAAATAACAGAATCGACGTTGTTTTTCGTTAAATGATCCCCTGCTGAGTGGGAACTGATGCATTATCAGTAATAGATGCATTCTGCTAGAACGTGTTGTTTCTTTACTTAAAAACAAACCGACCTCCATGTTTTTTTTGTGCTCTGCCTTCACTGTATTTTCTTCTTCGAGCGATGCTGAAGTGGATCGTTCCACAGCAGTTTGGAAATTAGATCTTTATGTAAACTGTAATAAACTAGAAAACGACTTTATGCACCAGCTCTGCTCATCATAAACTGTTAAACTCTTGTTATAACCATCCTCTAGTGTTAAAACCTCCCTGTAAGTCTTACATCCATTATAAACAGCGCTGCTCCTCTCATCTGTTTGTTTTTTCTTCTTCTTTGCAGCGTCTCTAGATGTGTCAGACCAGCCCTCCATGAGTTCTCTGCTGAGGACGATTGTAGCCAAAGATGGTTTCTTTGGGCTCTACCGAGGCATCCTGCCAAATTTTATGAAAGTCATTCCTGCTGTCAGCATTAGCTATGTGGTTTACGAGTACATGAAGACCGGCTTAGGGATCTCAAAATGATGACTGCGAGGAGCAAAGGAAGAACACTCAGTAATTGTTAGACTTGAAAGCAAAACACACACACACACACACAAAGTAATCTCCAAAACATACAGAGCATGACTTGATTGGTTGACTGGATGGAAAGCTGTATGTATGTTTTAACTATTGCCTGCCAGTAGTGTTTTGATTAATTGTGGTGCGCATGCTTTATTTTTAATCTTAAGATTGCACGTCACACTCCCATACACACAGTCTGCAAATACATTTCTGAAGAAAAAAAAAACATTTTTATTTACTGTTTTAAGTTGTGATGAAGCAAAAGATAAGACATGATGTGATGATTTTGTTTATATATCTATATATGTATCTAAGAAGAAGATCTTTCCAGGGAAAGTTGGATCTTATCCTAAGCTATGCTGTTTTTCAGGGTCAGAAAAGTAACACTAAGGCTGTTTAAATCTGTACTTGTCCTCACACTGGAGATCTCATTTTTCACTTTTACTTTTAAAAACACACCTCCCCTTTTAAGGACACAAGCTTCAGATAAGCAGGTCTCCAACCAGCAGCTGTCGACTAAACAGAACGAGGCCTCAGAAATCCATACTTATTAACACTGGAACCGAGTGTGCATAACGACACACTTCTCGTGCAATGTGAAATCCTGCGTACGTCATGATTATTTACATGTGCCTTACAGCCTCTTGATGCAAACCTCGGAGATGACTTTTTCAGCTATATAAACTGTATCTATGTACTGTATATCGACATGTTTTCAGGTATGCTTATTTATTGGACTGATTGACAAATCCTGTTAATAGACTGAAATACCTGTAAAGATCAAACTGTCTGGTGTCTCTTATTTTCAATTTGAAAACATGTAAGCATGCAGCGCAAGGATCCATTGTTATCTAAAGCTAAAAGATGAGCATAGATGTTTTTATTTTAAAGCAAACATGATAGTGTGATCTCTGTGTGATTTCAGCGATAAGAGAACATCAACACTTAATGGATTAAGGGTCAATCAAGATTTTCTATCTAAATGTATGTTTTGCTTTTAGCTAGAATGTTATATTGTAAAGATGGACAGGGATATTTATGTTAGCTATTGTTGCTTAAAAAGGGTCAAGATGACAGACAGATTAGAAGGTTTTGAAAACACTGCCCTCTCAAAAACTGCGATCACTGGTCAACATTTTAGGGAAAGATTTCTATGACATTCAAGTTTCTTAAAAGTTTACTATATTTGCAGTTTTTAATTTTTTAATTAAAATTGATTATATGGAATTCAGCTTAAAAAATTTGAAGGAGAACATTTTTTGTTTTTTGTTTTTTATTCTGATGATAGCTTTAAAGGGCTTTTCCTTAACGAACTGGTTTTATCGTGGCCTCAGTGGGAATTACCAAAATTTGAATGGAATGGCTTTTATGTTTTGTCGGATCTTTGAATTGGTTGGCACATGCAAAGTAGATTTTATTTAAATGTTGTAAAACCTTCAAATAAAGTTTTTGAACTTTGTAACAGAACAATAGCAGATGCATAAAAGCTTTATATTGCATGGAGACATGTAATTTAGAGTCAAATAAATGTGCAGTTAAAAGTCAAATGTTTCCCTTTGATGTGCTGTCTTCCGATTGCTGGTTGCAGAGGTGGATGAACCAGAAGTTACAGAGAACAAGTTGTGAGAAGGTCAATTTTCCATGCTTTGCCACGGGTTCTGACAGAATCACCTGTCATCATACCTGTGCTTCTGCTTGCCTCTGAGGGGTACCTTAGGGCTCTATGCTTGGTCCTCACCTGTCTTTCCTTCACTCCCTGCCATTTATTACCATTTTTTAGGAAGCATTACACAATTTAATTCAAATGCTGATGACTTTGAAATGTGACTCTCTTGAGAAGGATAGTTTCCTTCATTCATCCATCTTCCCCTGCTTAGTCCTTGTCAGGGTCGTGGTGGAGCTGGTACCAATCTCTGGCAGTCTTTGCGCAAGAAGCGGGGTACACCCTGGACAGGTCGCCACTCTTTTTCAGGGAAGCACAGAGACACACAACCATGCGCACACACACACTCATACCGAGGGACAGTTTAGAGAAGCCAATGAACCCAACACCTCATGTTTTTGGACTGTGGGAATAGGCAGGAGTACCAGGAGAGAACCCACGCTTGCAAATGGAGAACATGCAAACTCCATGTGGAAAGACCAGGAATTGAACCCAGAACCTTATTGCTGCAAGCCAACATTGCTGCCCATTGCATCACCGTGCAGCCCGTGGATTTTCTTCATTTTAATGAAAAGAAGACCGAGGTTGTTTTTTTTAATCCCCTGGTTCCAGCTGTATTCCCACCCTTGAATATTCCTCTTGGTCCTAAGGTGTAAAAATAGACCCTAGCCTACTTGATGCACATTCCTTTACTGTGGTTACATCCTCTTTCAGATTTGTCAGCTTTCAAAAGGAATGCTTACCTCTCTAGGTGCAATGATCCAATGCCTCATTCTTTTCCCGCCTGGATTATTGTAATTCTCCTTTGACTGGAATGAGCTAGGTCTTTCTTTTCTGCTTATGCCTGTTTTAAAATGTTGCTGCACAATTTTAACTGCTGCAAGTAAATGACAGCACACATTTTAGTGTCCCCTCACTGGCTTCCTGTTCAGTTTCTAAATTAGATTTCAAATAGTTTTATATGTTTGTAAGTTTCTTACAGTCCTGTCTGTTTTTGTTGTTTTTTTGTTTGTTGTTTTTTTGTGATACGTCATCAATTCCTGCAATTTCGTATTGTTAGAGTGGCTCGAAAGACACTTTATATTCTCCAAAAGGCATTTTATAAATTCAGATGTACTGTAGTTTTGGCTCCTAAAGCTGAAATGAGATCACCTTGGAGGTCAAGCAGGTCAAATCTCCTGCTGTTTAGATAAAACCTATAAAAAAAAAAAAACACTTTCTCTCCTTAACACTTTTGAAATACATGGATTCTTCTGAATTTTTATAGCCCCTTTATCCTATACTTGATATAAAGTTTTTTCTCTATTATTGTTCCCATACAGCACTTTGAAGGGGCCGTTATTTTTTTTAAGTGCTTTAGGAATAAAGGGCTACAGAACAATGTGTATGGCATAGTGTTGTATGTTGGATGAGCTGCTGAAGGAGACGAACTAAAAAATAAAATCATACACCAGTTTTTCTGTGTCCTGTTTTGACAAGAAACACTTTATTGTTTTAAAGCTAGTGATAGGCTGATTAGGCATCACATCTAGTTTTAATTTTATAAAGAGAAATCTTTCTCCATGATGTTATCTGAGGTTTCTAGCATGCTCTTTTATTTTAAGCCTCATCCAGTCTAACTAATAGCAGATTTCTAACCCAAAGCCAATGACATTGGTCTTTTCTGGATTAAGTTGAGGAAAAATCTGATCCATCCACACTTTGATAAATTGAAAACTGCAAGTGGCTGTGACAATGGGGGTGTCACAGGATAAATAGCATTTATACGGTAAGAGATCTTGTAACAAATGATTTAACAAACAAAGAAAATGTCTCAAGAAAGGAACCTTAGATAGCTTCACATGCTATCTTTGTTCACTCCGATTTTTATTACCAAACGACACAAAGGCAGCTATAAAACTTATTTTATATTGCCTAAGTTTTATTGCTACAGGCTCCAGGGAGGAAAGTATCATTGTCTGCACTCATTTCAGTATAACAATGTTATTTTTTCCATACATGTAAATGTGGGGACAATAGAAGAAGGGTTATGCATTGCAGAGTATGAACAGCCATTTCAACTTTAACGCTCCATTATTGCATCAAAATCTATGGCTTTTATTCAACCTTCTTCAAAAATCTGAATCATGTCTGCGTTATGGATATAACATTGTTTTTCCAAATGAAGTTAAAAATTAGACTTTTCATTATTTTATAGAAACAGGTAGGGAAAAGGCAGAGCATATAGGTCTAGAAATCAATTCAATTCTTGTCAGTAAAGATCAACCAAACAAAGTTAAATCTCTTTGCAACCATTTATTTAGAATTGTCTTTGATTTTCCAATTGGCATTTGGAAATATTTATCCACATTTGCTCTGGAGTCTTTGGATATCCATTCCTATATAACAAACCTCCTTTATAACAGGAATATTAAATAGTACCCTTTCTAAACTATCATGGACATTTAGTTCACACTCACTAAGATTTAGATGTAAACCAGAAGCCTGGGTGAATGATTTCACTACTTGTAGGGCCAGTTGGGTACCTCCTCCTTATTTCTTAAGAATAGTGTTGTGTCATCTGCTAGTTGGCAATGGTTTTCCCATCTATGTTAATCCTTCCCACTTTTCAAAAGAACATGTATGAACAACAATGGAAACAGACTACATCCTTATCTTATACCTCTACCTATGTAAAATCTTAGACATGTACCTTCAGGTAGAGAAAATAAGCTATCATCTTAATTATATTTGGAAAAATATTCTCCAAACCCAAGATGTTGAAGAGTTTTTATAAATAAAATGGTGTTTCACTGAATCAAATGCTTTTTGGAAATCTAGAAATAAAACATACGCTCATCACTGTAATCAATTACTGTAGGTCAAAGGCCAAACCTATTATATAAATTGATCTACCTTTCATGAATCCTGATTATGAACTGCTTATAATTTTTGAAAGTAATGATGAAATGTTCCTAATTTGTATTGAGAAGAGTAATTAGTACTGTCTACTTTTAAGGGTATGCTTAAAACTTTCCTTTTTGATAAATCTTATAGTTAGAGGGGCTCAGATTATCCTGAGCTATCTCTATAGTTATGCTGCTATAGGGTTAGACTTCTGGAGCACATAGGGACCCCTTTTTCATCATTTTGCTTCATTCTATCTCTATTCTTCCACTCTGCAGAATCTGTTAGCTTACTCTCTAACGTTATGCTCTCTCTGCCTTTTCTCATTGTAGCTTTGCTCTCATCTGTTCCTGTTTGGCTGTGACACCACCCTGGACAGAAATATCAGCTGTGCTACAGCCATAAACACCTTTGTTTATAGATGTTGGAGATCAGCCTGTTTTTTCCAGGGTCCTGTTTCTCTGACTGTGACTGGCTGGATGTGCTCTCTTCATCCTCTGACATTGGAGTTGGCTCGGAGCTCGTCTGCCTGGCTGTGTGTTTCCTGGACTTTTAAAGCTGTTTTTTGTATCTATTCTTCTGTCTCCTTGAACCCCAGTCGGCCTCAGTAGATGCCCGTTCACACTGAGCCTGGTTCTGCTGGAGGTTTCCTCCTGTTAAACGGGAGCTTTTCTTCTGTCGCTACAAGTATGCTTAGGTGAGGGAGTCAGATGCAATCAACTGCTTTTCCTTAGATAGAAAACTTTCAATCAATTTGACTGTATGATCTGGTAAACTGTAAAGTGCCTAGACATTACATGTGTTGTGAATTGGCGCTATATAAATAAACTGAATTGAACTTTATGATCTAATATTAATATTTAAAACTTTCGCTCGGTTCTCTGTACTTCCTTATTAGAAGGCGTTTCCGCTGACTACGTCACGTATTTTCTCGCTCCTGATTAGCGGGCTGCTGGGATCCTTTATGTCCTAATCGCTTACCGTAGCATCGGCACCGCTGCTGTTTGTGAGTGGAGGTTTAACCAGAGCGGTACAGAGGCTTATATCCTCCTGCAGTGCAGAAGAACAACAGCGGGTGTCGGTGAGTTTCTGAGTTTCTCCTTCGTATCCTCGGGGGCTGCGTGATATTATAGTTTCTGTTGTGCTTACAAACAAACAAAAAACAACAGAAAACACATCGCTCGTGCGTTAACAATGGCAGTTAGCTAGCTGACTTTGACTGCATCTAAAAATATTCTTTCGGGGTGAGGGAGCACAGCTGAACATCCAGCAGGGAGAAGACTAAACAGTTTACAGTTTCCCCCGGCGAGGGGAGGGGAGCTTCAACTTTCTGATCTACTTCACTGGATTTAATCTGTTAATCTGATGGAGTTTAGGTGCTCTGTGATAGTTTGTGTTTATTTAGGTAAACTGCTGTCGTCTTGTTGGATCTGACCAGACTAGTTCCAAGTTCACAGACAGTAAACCGTGTTTGTTGCTCCATTGTAACCCGTTCCTTATCTGTCTTGGCTCTCTGCCGTCTAAAGCTCATTAGCCGTAATGCTACCAGCCGGGGATCGTTATCATTTGGACGTGTTTCCTTTGTTTCCGCCCGTTAGTTTAGCTTACAGGACGTCGCATGACATGGGAAGCTGTCAGTGCTTGTCAGGTGCTGCCATCACATTCCTTTGCGAACAGCAGCAGAGCTGGAAACAGCCAAAACAGCCTCTGTGTTTGCTAACCTGCTTTAATCTCCCATTGTGGTTAATAGGCTAACAGGCTACAACGAGATACAAGCGATGCCATCTTGGCTTATTTGTTAAACTTATTTTATTATTTACCCTGATTAAATTTACAAAATGTATATAGAACAGTTGATTAGAGGTGTATTCTTTAATATGTTTTTTTTTTTAGAGACTTATCGCTCCTAAATCTATTCACCCACAATGCCTTGCAAAATTATTTCCGGTTTCTTGTGTCTCCATCAATAACTTTGTTTTATCTGTTTACGTACTATCCTTCCGTGGCCGCTGGAAGTACTTTTGATTAGGGGGTGCTGTGGAAATGTTTTGTGAATTTTTGTTTTTTGGGGAAAAGATACCTATTAGGACAATTTAAAATACAATAAAAAATAAACAGAGATACATAGCTTAATTGTCATATACAATTCAGTGCAAATAACCAGGATCTGTAACACACAGACATCATTAGTTCTCAGGTGAATAAATGAGCTATTAATTAAACTTCATAATAACACTATGATGTAGATTTGGCCAGCTGGCATGGACCCGAGTCACTTTGACTCTATTAGCTCCAAAATCGTTTTATTTAAAGCACAAGAAAATAATTTAATAATATATTTTTTATTGTCATTACACTCTAAAAAATACAGAGCAATGAAATGAACTCTCTGCATTTAACCCATCCCCTTTGGGAGCAGTGGGCTGCCACTGTGCGGTGCCCGGGGAGCAGTGTGGGGTTAAGGGTCTCAGAGACCCGGAGTGGCAGTCTGTGGGAGTGGGGCTTGAACTCAAAACCTCTGGATTCCAAGTGCAATGCCCTAACCACTAGGCCATCACTCCCCCTCCCTCTATTAATAAACTATTTAAAATAGTTTGAACAGTTCTCCAGATCCATTACACAAAGAACAAAAGATCAAAATAACAGTCTAAAAATCTATGTTATTCTAGTTTATTAAGCCATTAAGGTCTGTTTTTATCTTTACAGCACCATTCCTGTTTTACAAATGCTCTGATCTTTATAATGCAGATCACATATAAAATAAATCTTAATTAATCATCATTCACAATTTATCTCTCGGTATTTACTTTTGCTTTCTTATTGAAAATATTACCTTTATGAGTAGAATATGTTATGTTTAAAGTTATTGTCGGTGATGTTGTAGAATTTCCTTGTTTTTGAGCAAATTATTGGATTTAGTTTCTTCTGTGTTTCCCCGTCTAGCACAGATCATGCTTCCTCTACAGCTGCTTTGCCTCATTCTATTAAAGATTTTCCTTGCATTTAAAGCATATGATGGATTTTTATTTTCTTTGTTTTTCGTCCCATATCTGAAATTATTATATTTCAAGAGGTTTGGCCTTTTTTATTTGAACTAATTGAGTGGATGTGTGTTTTTCTAATTCATCTTTAATGCAACATTTATGAACACTGAGTAGATTAATAAATAATTTTTCGATTGATATTTTTAATCTTTCAATAAAGGCTATGAACTTAAAGCGTTGGAGCAGCTTCTTCCATTTTCCAAATACGCTGGTGAGACCTCATCTCCCCAAAAAAGGCAAAGAAATGGACGAAACCCAAGAAGGGCCTCTTAAAAAGCAGTTGCCTCATTACCACCAAGGATGGTGAAAATCCAGAGCAAAGTTAAAACACAAATTTCTCTCTAAAATGGGAAAAAAAAGATACTTGCCTACATATGGGCTGGGAACAAGGACTTTAAGTTTCGCCACAATATTTTGTGATATTTTGTCATACCTATAAATGTGATGATAAATACTTAGAAAGTAAAAAAAAAATCATACCTATATTAAAATGAGCTTTTGCAGATGATCAATTCAAAAGCTCTGCTCAGTCAAGAAAAGTTGAAATGGTTAACTCCTCTCACAATACTTTTTTTATGAAGTTTTTAACCAAGTAAACCTTTCTGTAACTAAAAGGAATAATATTTAATGTGGTTTTAGCACTAGTCTAGTTTTAGCACTAGTCTAAATATTTTTATTTAGGTCATGTTTATTTTTTTATTAGAAATGTTTGTTTTAGTATTTAACTTTATGAAACAAGCAGTTCTTTTTTTTTCTGCCTGTTAATCTTCTGCTGTTCTTAGGACCACTAAACGTTCATGGTGTCATCAAAGCTGTAGAGTTGTTTCGAAACAATGAGAATGGATAACTTAAGAAGTTGATCATTACCAAAAAAGCTTTAGAGTACAAAGTCTCAAATATTTTCCAAAACAAAAACAAAGCCCTAGGCGTATTAGGTGACTAAATAGAACCTAGAAAGATTAATCAGAACGACTGCAGTGCTTATTTCAGCCTCTTTCCTCTTAGCACAAAATGTTAAAAAGAAAAAAAGGGCTGTTTTACTTTAAATTCAATAAGAGTTTCACTCTTTTTCTCCATTATGATCTTGCATTTACTTTTCAAATTAAAGGCATATTTTCTAACTTTTGATGGATTTGCTGGATTGTTGTAAAGTTGGAGTTTCTGAGCTTGATACTAAAAGTAATTATTTTCTTACAGAAGCGCGGCGAGTAGTGAGACACCATGGGCAATACAAGTGACAGAGTGTCTGCAGACCGCCATGGGAAAACCCATCGCTCCGACAGCAGCGGCAGCCAGAAGGACCAGGACTCCAGCAGCAAGATGGGGGATAGCACAGACGACCCCAACGTCTTCAACATGCATGGATCTGAGTCCAAGGTAGATGCCCAACAATGTGATCATATTGTTTTAGTTTTTAATGTTCATAAATCATCCTTCATTTATAAAATTCAGACTATATATCTTTACAACAGCACAGTTTTCATATGTGTTTATTTTTTAGACTTCAGGGGAGAAAGAATTCACTCCAGATTTGGATGACCTGGTTAAAACCGGTCCTCAGGCTCGACCCACTGTTATTCGCTGGGCCGGAGGGGGTAAAGAAGTCTATATAGCAGGTTCCTTCAATAACTGGAACAACAAGATACCCCTAAATAAGAGGTGACCAGGGAAAACATAGTTTCAGATGTCTCACTGCTGTTTTCTTAAATTAATATATTTTTATTCTCACTGCCATGTGTAGAAACTCTGGTGTGGCCCTGAAACTCCTTTTTTTCCCCCCTCTTCTCTTCTATATTTAAAGCCACAATGATTTTGTAGCGATTCTGGACCTGCCTGAAGGAGAGCACCAGTACAAGTTTTTTGTCGATGGACAGTGGCTCCATGACCCCTCTGAGGTACAGAAGCTAGTTTATTAACCCTTTTATTTTTTTTTAAAAATGCACATATATTCTGAAAGTTGAAACATTTATCAAACCAACCTACTTGGTTTGAATTTTTAAAACTGTTTAGAAATATAGAACGAAAAATCTTAAACTGTGGAAAGGTGTAGTTTTTACCTGCAGTTAACTCAAATCAAGTAATTTCAGGCTAAGAAATGTTATTTCTATATTTCATTAGATCAATAGCTGATGTTTTCTTCATTTATTTACATGGGCAAATAAATAAAGAAGCCCAGCTCATGTATCCAGCTTTATGAAAAATATAATCTGCAGATCTAGTAAGACATGAGTTGCCCTCAAAACATAAATTCTGAATTTTCAGAACTTTGTTATACGACTAGATTATACTGAACAGCACTGGAAAACCGTTATGGGTTCTCCCAGTGAGGTTTAAGGAGGTAGAAAGTCACAAAAGACAAAAGAAAATTCACAATGACAGGACAAAGCCGCAGTGTTTAAATACAGCTAGATGTTTACTATACACAAAAAACAGTGTTTATTTAAGTTTATAACAAAACCTCATATAACCATCTTAAAAAATCTAACACTGACAGCTGCTGCTTATGTTTTCTGACCTCTAAATGTTTAATTATCTAACACGCTAGCAGGAAAAAGCCACAGTGTTTAAATACAACTAGATCTTTACTATACACAAAAAAAACAGCGTTTATTTAGGTCTATAACAAAACCTCATTTAACCATCTTAAAAAGAGCTAACACTGACAGCTGCTGCTTAAGTTTTTTGACTTCTACATGTTTAACCTGTCTAAGACTCTACAGACCAAGCAGGACAAAGCCCCCTCTGTTGATAAACGCAACAAACCATCAGACAAAAAAGTCGCTTTAAGTAATCTTGGAGAAACCTTCAGTTTGACTAATTTATGATTTACGTTTTTATTTTATTTTTTTATCAAACTGTTGCATTAAAGGCAACCCATCCCTAAATGAGCATGTTTGGTACAAAATAGTTTATTATATTTCCATCAGACCAAACTTTTATAGTCTCATTGATTCTTTCATATTTTTACTCATTACTTCCATCAAGGAGAGTTTGTGTTTGTCTGTCTGTTTGTAAAGATAATTTGAAACATTAGGGATGGATTTTAATTATATTTTTATCATAGGTGTTTTTCATTCCAGGGAACAATCCATTAAATGTTGGTGATGATCCAGATCATAATCTGCATACAGGAATTTCCTTTAAAGATTCTCCAACATTAGATAACACATAGGGATATTTGACCCGAGTGGAGGGGTGGTTATTAGGGATGTAATGATATTGACATTATCGCGCTATTGCGGTAGTAAATGTGGGTTACAATAATAAAAGGACATGTGTCCATCAAAAAGCAAGAGGATTAAACACAGTACCGCGGAACAAATCATTGTTAGCTACATAGACCATGATGCTTTGCGCTGCGTCGTCATACCAACCGTTCTTAAGCCAATAGGATTGCACGCTGTCCACACAAGCTCAAAGCAAGCTAGCATGGCCGACAGCGATAGTTGTAACGATGAAAACAACAACCCAGAAGTTGAGATTGTGCCAGCCCCTGCAGCTTTTAAGTCAGATGTCTGGAAACCTGTTTTTTTTCGCCGTGTCAGACAACGCAAAAGGAGAGAAGGTGGTGGACAGACAATGGACTATATGCAAGCACTTCCACAGTAAACTGCGAACACGAGAAACACAAGCAATATGCTAAGTCATCTGACGACTCATCATCTGGAAAAGTTTGCAGATTCTCTCACAAAGAATGTCTTTTCCGGTCAAAAAACCCTGAAGGAGGCATTTTTTTTTTCTTGAAATGCACGTCTTTTGATCTTTGTGATGAAAAATGTGAACATAAGCTAACTGATAGGTCAGTGTTTTTTAAAAAGGCTTTTTGTCTGACTATTTTATTTAAGTTTAAGTTATGTTCCTAAATTCCAGTTTTAAAAGGCTGCTTTTACTTACCTTGCACATTTAAACCTGACTTAACTTGATATTTGTTTGCACTTAAAGGGAATTCCATATTGTTTGCAATTGTTCTGGTTGCTTCTTAACTTGAACATTGCACAGAAGAATCAACAGAATATTGATGTTCCTGACTAAAACTTGCACTTTAAAAGCACTATGTAATCAGCGTTTTATATTGTAATGATCCATGAATACAACAATAAATTGCCTGTTGACTGGCAGAAGCGGAAAAAATGTATTTTTTTGCTATTATCATCGCAAACACTATCGTGAGCTATTTAACAGTACCGTGAGGTTTTCCACAATATCGCAATAAATATCGTACCGTGAGGTCAATATCGAAATTGTATTGTACCGTGAGATTTTGATGTCTTTACATCCTTAGTGGTTATGTCCTGAAAACAATCATTTGGCAATGGTTGCATCTATTAGTTTCAAAAGCCTCCGGAACCAACCCACCACCCTCCTTATCCCCTCTTATGATGTGAACAACTTTTTTCAGGCTTTTTTGTTGCAGATCTAGTTCTTGTTTTTTTTCCAGCTGCTTTCTAGTTGCCTATTCCCAAATTTTGAAGATCAAGATGTCTTAGTGGAATGACAAGTTCTCTGTTCTTTCTCCCCCATAGACATTGCTAAGTCCAGTTGGGCTGTCTCATGTATCTATAGTGCTACATCTGGGATGTTGAAGTTTACTGATTACTCTGAACAATCCAGGAGTAAATGAAAGAAATTCCTGGGTGAAATTTACTACATAGAAATTCTGAAGTGTTCTCCTAAGTGTGAAACTTGTATAAAAACACAGCAATAATATTCTAAAGACTGTCTGATTTTACTCCACTAACTGTTGCACCAAGTTGCTGCTCAGCGCTGCTGTCTTGTTCTATTGAGCTTCTTTATAATGAGGTGTAGATTAACTTGATCACCTGTGTTGCAGCCAGTTGTAACGAGCCAGCTTGGCACCATCAACAACCTGATCACAGTAAAGAAGTCTGACTTTGAGGTGTTTGACGCCCTGCAGGTGGACTCTCTGGAGTGCTCAGATACATCCGGTAAACCTCCACAGAGTTACAGGCTCTTCCTTAAATGCTGCTTCTAATTTCCTCTAATGAAATTCCTGTCTTTCTTCTGCTCAGACCTGTCCAGCTCCCCTCCTGGACCTTATGGTCAGGAACAATACATCTTTAGACCAGAGGAGCACTTCAAAGCCCCTCCCATCCTCCCTCCTCACCTGCTTCAAGTTATCCTCAACAAAGACACCAATGTATCGGTCAGTATCTGTGAATGGCTCATTCTTGCCTCTCTAAATGTTGCTTTCCTGTGAATTATCCAAAGATCGAACTCAGCTGTTCTAGCCTCTCATCTTTGGTTTCTCCATTTTTTTTCTCAGTGTGATCCCGCCCTTCTGCCTGAACCAAACCATGTGATGCTTAATCACCTTTATGCTCTTTCAATAAAGGTAGGTCTCCTAGCAGCACAGATCGGTCTGACATTATTCAGATGGAGCAGCTGGTTAAACATGAATTATTAAACTCAGAGTAGTTTTGTTTTTTCTAATGGTTTCTTTCAAACAATTCACGTCCAGTTTTTTTCCTCTACTTATGTTCTGATTGTTTAAAATTGTCCAAATTTTCTATGGTTTAACTAGCACTGGACAATAATTCAATATCATCATTTATTACAGTATAATTTATTCAGTAACGGTGATATGACATTTAAACAAACATTTTCAGTGTTTCAACATATTCTGTAGTCTGGTTGAACCATTAAAAAAAATAAAAAATTTAAGCACTGCCTAATTAGAGTTTATCAGAGATTAGATTTTTCTGAATTAATCAGGGACCCTTAGTTGGTATTTTCACACATTTATGAGTTGGTTTGCTCATTTATTAAGGTGATTTGTGAACATAGTCTTTCAGGGTTAGGTGTGTTTGTCTTCTTGAACATAAAACAGTTAATCTCGACAAAATAAAAGAGCTGATGATAGAAACTGAAAGAGTTGAGAAGCTTTGGACTAAAGAATAGAAGGAAAGGAGAGATTGTTACCTGGTAATATATAAATTGCTAAATAGAGTTTTGTATACTTGGCTTAATAATATCCAGATTTAGTGAGATCCTCACCTGCAATGCAAGATCCATTTGTAAGGAGACGGTTTATTAAAAAAAAAAAAATCCTAACATGAGTATTACAAAAAGATAAAGTCTTATTATAACTGAAAATATTAGATGCATCACAATTTATGTTTTATTCTAATAACCACTTGTTTTTTTTTTCTTTTTCATCCTCTTTTATGATTTTTGTTCCACCAAAATCAGCTTTTAATTAATTTATAAACTACACTAAAACATCAAGCGTTTTTAAAGAAAGACTAATCTCAATCCCATTCATATTCAATCTGGAGAGACATACAGAGAGAAAAGCTGCAATTAGAAAAATGACATTTTTTGATAAAGGTAACACTAAATTATAGTCTTCGAAATATTTCTACCTAAGGTAAACCAGCTGATTGCGAGGACTCACTGACTCTCTGTAATCCCTCGCACCGAGCATTCATGTGGTGAAAGTGGACAGGAAAACTCCCTTTTAACACGAAGAAACCTAGCATATCCATTCCAACTGACCTTTTCTGTTGAATTAAAATATTAGATGCTCATATATTATGGAGCTACAACAACAACAACAACAAAAAAACACTCTTCTTTCTTTTTTGTTTCCTCTAATTATGTTAAAAAAAAACAACAACAACAAAACAAACAAAATCAGACATTTCTTTCATTGTACAATAATAAACTACAGTTTTTGGTCTTTCACCTAGAATTTCAACATAATGCAATATGATTTGTTTGGTTGGATTGTGGCTAAATGTGAGAAAGGTCACAATCCAGTGAATATTTTGTTAGATTTTGCAATGGTCACTTGTTTTCTGTTGGCCTCAGTCTCCACATAATTTCCCATACTGTGTTTCCTTTCTGTGTTTTTAGGACGGAGTGATGGTGCTGAGTGCTACCCACCGATACAAGAAGAAATACGTCACGTCTCTGCTTTACAAGCCCATCTAAGCTGCCCCTCATATGCTCCACAGTGCTATTTGTGTTAAAAGAGCTGCATCATAGAATCCAGCTGCTTTTTGTTGGTTCTTAGCTTTTTTTTTTTCTTTCTTTACATTTGGCGAAACCTTGCAGCTAAACATGTTTACAAGCAATTTTTAACACAATCACCGTGTGAGGCAGCACTTCAGTATATCCAGGGTTCTGTACAGACTGACGGAGAAGTGTGTTTGTGTTGGCTTTCAGGGAGAGATTACCGTACTGTGGCTTTAACTCCTAACAACTACAAATAAGACTGAATCAGTCAAAGATTAAGATTGTGTCTTGTGTATGTTTGTGAAAAGTGTCCCCTGTGTGTAGTAGATGACTTGTGAATGAACTGTGGTGGGTTGTTTGTTACTGATGCGCTTCAGAACTGTTACCTTTTAAATGCTTAATCGACTCTGTTAGATTTGTTGTTGTTGTTTTTTCTTTCTGCATGCAGAATGAGGTGTAACCTCTGGAGACAGACCCACTGCAGTTTAACTTTGAAGTGCAATAAAGTGCCACAAAAACAGTTCAAAGAACTGGAGGCACAACATCCTGCTTTCATTTACATTACCGTGGAGTCTACTGTATATATATAAAGAAAAAAGCTAAAGTATTCATATAATTTTGTGACATTGCAGCAGAAGCATTAGTTTATAATTCTTTTGTATTATTTATTTGACACAAGACCCTTCTGTTAAGGGCTGACTAAACCAACATGGCTCCATTAGATGCTTAGAGCTTGGGATTTTGTAAAACCGAACCCCGCTTTGATCTGCTCTGTCGTCTTTGTGATGCTAATTCTTCACTTTAACAAACCTTTACAGAGAATCATTTAAACAGAAGTTGGTTCTATTTATCAAGTAGACATAGTTGGTTTAATAGGATTTCCTTCAGAGGTATTAAAGTTTCTAAAAGACCTTTGGAAACATTTAATGTTTTCCTTTCACTCCACAAATTGTGTAGATCTCTGAAAAATTTCTGCTGCAATGGTGAAAAATATACATATGAATACTTTTGTGAGTCTTTTCAGAGTTGGTTTGACAGGAGAACTGCTCATTCTGATGGTGAATCCTCTCTGTTTGCTTTCTGTTGTTGCCTTTTAGCTGGTTTCAAATTGTTAGCACTTTACCATCCTGTGAGCACAAGTGTTGATTTAAGCATTTAACTATGCACCAGCACAAAGCTCTTGTCCTTTACCTTCTCTTATTAGATGTTTGTTTTATTTTTAGGTTTATTTGATTTGTTCTGTGATATATGAATGTACTGTATCTATGTGTTGATTGTAGAGGAAAAGTTTCTGCTGTCTAGTCTGTAGAGGACACCCTCAGCAACTGGCTACCACATGAGCTAACAGGGCTGTTACAAGGATTCTGCCATAGATCTAAATGTACATTTTGTGCGTTTGTGTGTTCAGGAAAGTATTTAAGTGTTTTCAATTTAATTGCCGTGCTGTTTTTAGCGGGGCTGAATTAATTGCTTGCACATATAAGAAGGGACTTGTTGATCCTGTAATTAGTTCCCATATAAGCTGAAAGCTTTTTGTCATTGTTGAACCTGCCTGTGACGTTTCGTCCGAAGAGTATGAGGTTTAGAGAATCCATAAGGCAGTGAAGTGCCATGAAAATTGAGTTTTAAAGCTGAAACCAAAACTTCAATATTTTTGAGCCCTTTTGGAAAAAAATGCAAATAAAGACACGAATCTAATGAAGTCTCCGTAGCTTTCTCTGTGTTCTTCAGTGCAAAGGAGGATTAGAATAATATACGTCTATTAGCTTGACTAATATTATGCAAAATATCACTTAGCAAGATTCATCTTAACCACAGGTATACTATCTAAGTTGTAGTTGGCATTAATTGAGTTTATCTGCTTCCCTGCCTTAATGTTAGCGGTTTAGGTTCAGCCTTTGGCGATGCTATACCAAAAGCTTTTTGTCTTCCTAACCATTGTACTGTGGGCTTCAACAGCTGTTTTCAAATTTTAACCTGCAAGTGATTAGTTAAAGGTAGAGCTTGTTGATTTGGACACGGTCCTCTTGTTATTCCACATCTTTGTCAAAGTAGGGACTGTCTGGAAGCTAGACTGGTTGCTTCTGCACTAAAATGTGCTAAACAACAGATATAAAATCTGAGAGAATATTCATGGAAGGCTTGGGATTGAAAGAAAAGATTTTAGTGTGTTTTTATTGTTTTAATAGTATATCTGCACATTTATACATATTTTTATAGGAAAGCTAAAACAACTTTAACTATCCTAAAATATTACAAAATAGTGGGTAAATAAATCTGTGATTATAAATTTTTAACAGCTGACATTGCTAAGGGATTTGCTTCAATATCTTCTTTTAGAGCAAATCATTCGTTTCTAATAGTAAACGTATGCCCATCATTATGCTGGGGTAAGATGTGCAGTGCCTCAAACCTGCCAAAATAACGGAACACAAGCGCTCTCCTCTCTGTTCATTAATTTGTAGATCACTAAAATACAATTTTCCTGGATAAAACTACAGTCCTAATAGTCAGAACTGTAATTACAGATATCCTAAGTTGCACTTTTGCTAGCAAAAACATTTCATGATGTAAAAAATTTATTGTACTAATAGGAATGTTTCAGATACATAGAAATCACTAGACATTTTATTTCTGTCTTAAATGCATTTCTTCCTAGTCGAACTGAACATTTCAGACTTCTAAAATAACATTCTTCCTATCTAAAATGAACATTTCAGATATCACTAGTACAAATGAAGTTGTGTTTCCCATTCATGTTTACTGGTCTTTTACTTCCAGGTATCTAAAATAACCTATCTATCTAAGATAAACATTCTGGATTCAATTATTAATTTATTTTAATTCATTTTAATTTGCCTAACAATAAATATGAATAGTTAATGTAACAACTAAAAGGTATAATGATTAAAAAGGAGGAGAAAATCCAATATTTACATGAAAAGAAAATTACCTATTCAGCTCTTAATACTTTTACGGACATAATTCAAAAAGAAAAATATTACCTACATAAAATAAAAAAATAAACAATAAAGAATATCTCAACCAATGTCCAAAATTGCTTTACTGTGATGATTTTTAGAACACCAGAGAAATATTTTTCTATAAACTAACTTCTTTGATCTTTTTATTGTTGTCATTTCTGATCATTTTGTTCTTCTTTTTATTTATTTATTTTTTTTTATTATTCAAAATCAACTTTTACTGTAAGTTTTTAGCCCAGTCCCGTGAAGATAACGCAAGTCAACAATAACAACATATGGAGCATAATGTGTACAGATGAAGATTCCCCTTTTCACATTTCTACCTTCCCCCTCATATAATTTAGCCTGCAGCTGTCCCTTTAGGTAACACATCAAACTGCCTGATAGGTGTATTAATGCAACAGGTCTTTGCACCAGTAAAGTGCAGTGTTTTAAAAAGGAGAATCCCTCACCAAGATGGCGGCTGTTTTAACGCATCGTTCCAAGTGAAGTTCAAGCTTTATATTTCTAAAAGTCTCGCTGGATTTTTGCTTACGAACAATTCCATTCATAATTAATAAAATAGATCTCTTTTTTTCCTTTTTAAATTATTTTCTGTTCGCATTGTAAGCCTATTAACCCCTGTACATAACTTCCGCGTATAGAAAAAAAAAAAAAAAAATGGACTTCTCCTATAATCCAAGCAAACCTTACTGGAAAAAAAAAAAAAAAAAAAAAAAATCAGGACTACGCATGCGCAGTGGTTGCCGTGGTTACAAGTACACCCAAATTCAACGGCTCTATTTTTTTTTCTTACAATCAAAATGGTAAGTTTAGTCAAATTTCTCAAAAACGATTTATATTTCGATTATTGTTTTGAAGACATGTCTCAAAACGTTAAGTTTGTTGCCGTAATGTTAGAAAATATTTCTTATTTGTTAAAATATTTCACTTTACTGAATTTAATCCAAATTGAATGCAAACTGTCTATCAAGCTAAAGTATGACCTGGAGTTAATACTTTACTGTCTATCACTGTGTGTGTTATATTTCTTATTTCAGTATTCTAAATACAGAAATCTTTAATCTAAATGTTGTCTTCTACATATTCTCGTTTCTCATGTCAAACCTTGATTTTGCTTTCTTGCATGTCTATCACATATCTTTCTTTTCCATGAATTATAGCCCCCCAAGAAAAAAAAGGTATGTGCGAAAAGCACTCAGCTCATTTTCTTTGTCACCTTTTAGTTGTATAAGCACTGATTATCTATTTAACTGATTATAGTTTTCTTTTAAACATTTCTATCTCTATCCATTCTGGAGTTCAGATAAAAAAAAAGAAAACTAAAATTTTCAAGTGTTTTTTCAGAAGGCCCAGAAGAAGAAAAAAACTCTGAAATCGCAGAAGCAGAAAGAGGAGGAAGGTAACCTTTATGTCTGTCTGTCTACCTAAACATGTGCTACGTTGACACACTTAGGATTTTATTTTGAACCTCAACCTATAACTATATTTTCTTGCATCTTATAGATACGGTTGAAGTGAGATAATTACTGATAAATGCTAATTTACTGAACTCTGATGCAGTTGTTCTACAGACCTCAGTAAAAAAATGAAAGCTTTAACTCAAATGACATGTAGTTTGGTTAATGTGTTAGCCTTAGTGTCTCTGGGGTTTTGCTGTTTTTCTGGTGTGAGTGAGCTTCCTGCTGCAGAGAGGATCTTTGCTGGTGGCTGGGCCCATAGACATATATATATATTATGTCTATGGCTGGGCCAACTCGTGTTGCTTTTGTAATTAAAATGTTAAAATCCACTGGTTCTCCATGTGATTCTGAATGAGGGTCAAAAAACTACAAAACCAACATGACATAATGTTATGATTTGGGAACATTCCACTTTGCTTTAATAAATTCTCAGGTTCCTTTGGATTCATCTTTTAGATCATGTCCATCTGTATTATAAAATTTTGACCATGCAAAGACAAGATGAGCAACATAACTGCAGGACATTCCCATGGTTTTCATATTGTATTTGCTTGAACAGATAAATGTGTCTCCTTCAGACACCTGAACCAAATGAAGGCCCACAGGTCTCTTTATATCTTACCTGACTTCTTAGATTTTTTTCCATATAGGGCAGCAGTATTTTTGGCCTATCCCTTCATTTAATGCACAAATCTGGAATAAGTAGAACTTGTAATTTAATTGTGAATTGGTATCTTCTGGCTTGCTTAACAGTATAGCAGCCCTAGTGTAGTTGAAATTGAATAAAAAAAAATAACTGAGCTTATTATTCCATCATTTATAAAATAGTTATAATTTTGATCCTAATTGCATGACAAAGCAAAAGGTGATTTTTTTTTAATGTCAAACTCAATGGAAAACAAAGTGATTTGACATTTTCTACAGTGCATATAAGCATCAGCTTTCATCCAGCAGTGAGGCGATCCTTTCTTTTTTTTCTTCCAGAAGCAGCCCGGCTGCAGCTGCAGCTTGAAAGAGAAGAACAGGAGAGACTGGAAAATGAGAGAAAGCAGCAGGAGATACAGTGGTTAGAGGAAAAGGTACAATATTTTTAAACATACATGATGAAGTACAACCCTAAAAATGTTTTTTTTTTTTATCTAACTAAATGCAAGCTGTTTAATTTTGTGATTATTATGAATATAAAGCCTGAAAAAGCTTGAACAAGGCTTCTTTTAAACAAGCAGGGTGGTTCTAAAGAGATCTGTGTTTACAGTTCTGATTGAAGTCTTTTGTAGGGGAGGGGTGGGGGGACATCAGCATCAGCTATATTACCCTCAATATTTTGATTATCACAAACATAGCACTTTCATGAACTCAGACTCCCATTGGTCAATTAATTAATTTCCTTATCAAATTCTCTTACAAAAATGTACTGAATAGTGAAAGAAAAAGTATAGGGGGGAAAATAATTTTTAAATAACAATTCGGGCCATAAAAGCTTTTATTATTTCCTGTTTTGGACAAGCATATCTTTTGTTTTCTGCATTTTCTCTATTCTGGTATTTTTGCTGTTAGGTTTTGGAGAAAAGAGAGGAGGAACTGCTTAAACTGAACACTTTACTTGAGAAAAATTCCTCGGCAATAACCAAATGGAAGACTGCTGCTGCAGAAAAGGCTGCGGTAGGGAATTCTTTATATTTCTGCTAGTGTTTGCCGTGATTCTTTTTTTATTTTTATTTAAAGGTATAGAGGACAATCTTTTAGTGATTGGATCATCAAAATAAGTTGTCCTCCAAACTGTCAATCATTCTGGTGATATGCTTACGTAAGGGCGTCCTACGGGCTACTTTGGTTAGCTATCTTTTCGTGCACATGCACACTTTCAGGTGCAGATGTGTGGTGAGCTACGGTTTCCAACAGTCATTGAAGCTCTCCTTTCTTACCACGGTTCTTTGAAAATGGCTGAGGGTCGTAAGAAAAAAAAATGTCTACAAAGTGTATGAGAAGAAAAGACAGACCTCAGAAGAAACAGATATAAATCCCAGAATGCTTTACTCGGAAAGCTCTCCTCGCAAGGCATTATGGGATTTGCTGTGACAGCAGCCCGCTGTCACCATAGGCTTTCGCTACCCGACAATGTTGACTAATAACGAAGATGGCGCAGGCACCATACGGTGGAGGAGGTTTTACGTCTCTAACAGCGAGCAAAAAGCAGTGATCATCTGTCCGAACGGTAAGTTAACTGAGTTCACCATAAAGTTCACTGTATAGTCCCTGCTCTATGTACTGATCGAAGGAGTTAGGGGTTTGGACGTACGTTTGGGCACAGTAAGCTTGTATGAACTATGTGAACAGCAACTTTTAAACAGAGCGCACACGAGGAGAAATGGGCTTGTGCATGCTCTTGCTCGTGTGCATGTGCATTTTTGTTTTTAAAGTGGAGAGGGCGGGTCTTTTCAAAAATTCGTGAAAATGCTCCACTATACCTTTAATTATCCAAATATTAAAAACACACAATTTGAGGTTTGACATTTTCTTTGTCATGTCTGACAGAATCAACACAAAGGTTCCTTTTATTTATGCGTATATATATATATATATATATATATATATATATATATATATATATATATATATATATATATATATAGGGATGGCAAATTGAATTATTCATTGGTCGTTCTTGATCATCTAGAGCATGTCCACTTTCTGTGTTCAGTGGGAAAGATATATGCGTTGTGATGGTTACCCAGACCCAAAAGACCAGCGGGCCGTCAATACTTTCATCAGCTTGTGGAGAGACGACCTGGAGTCCAACGTTGCAGAGCAGTTTGACCAATCCACCACAGCCATACGAGTGTGTATTTGTACATACATACGTTATAAAATAAATGTTTGTTTTTTATCACAATTTATGACATAACAACCACAATAACCAGCATAGCTCATACATGTGAAGGGGAAGGAAACATTAAACGTGGTTCATAAAAATTGTATAAAGTGTAAAGAGCTTTTAAAGATGGTGGTGGCAGCATCATGCTGTGGGGATGTTTTTTATCAGCAATTTGAAGGGAAAAAATATATGGACAATCTTAGGGAAAAATACCTGACCATAAATATGCAGCCAGTTCTACAGAAGAATAATTTAATTCAAAGCATATTTGGTCAATGCACATACCCAAATCAGACTCAGAGTGATATTTACGAACCAACTTTGTCAAATTTTACTCAGTTTGAGGTATTCTGCAAAGCAAAATGAGCTAAAATGATGGTCTGGATAGCTGTTAGACAGACAGCAGAAAAAGGTAGTTCTACTCAGTGTTTACCCAGAAACGCTACTCATCAAATCCCATAGTAGGATACTAAAATGATGAATAGAGCTAATCTCAATAAAATTTATCAATTTGTGTATTTAATATGTCAAAATGTAAAAACAACGTTTAGGAATTGAGAATCCTGTTGCTAGACGTTGTATTAACTGGGGTCCTATTTGTAGCTGGCTGAAGATTTGCACGAGCTTCTACAAGAGGCAAAAGATCCAAAAGAGGTTCTGAAGTACCAGGAGGCTCTGATGGAAATGCAGGAGCTTTTCCATTCTAAGCACCTTTTCATAGCTGAGAAGATCCTAAAGGTACAAACCGCTGCTTCATTCATGTTAAACAGTGAAGATCCCAGGATGAAGAAACCTGTTCAGCCTTTAATGTTTTCTTGTTCACAGGGAACATGTGAAAAAATGGATCCTGATGCAACAAACCTGCAGCACGAATACAAACATGAGAGGCTGACGCTGTGTCTCTGGGCCAACCTTTTTAAAGACCTAAAGTTAGTGTCTAAAGTTGAGAATATACAAACCTTTTCATTTTCTTCCCGCCGACAAACTCACTGCTTTGGATTGTCTGTTTTCAGCTTGAATGAGCATCGTTTTGAGGAAGCTGGCCTGAGCTTTACGCTTCCCATGCAGCTGGTTTGGAGCGCCGTGGCCGTACGGATGCTCCACACCCACTATGACCACCTGTCAATTCTGGTCAGGATCAGACATCAGGCACAGAAGCAGGTAGAGGAAGAGAAGGAGCTGCCCATCGAGGAGTTAGACCAAAAACAGGTTTGATCAAATAAATCAGTTTTAAGTTCTAACATTACTTTCTAAGATTACAGTTCTAACGATACTTTAACATTACAGGCTTCATCCCGTCCCCCATCCAGAAAAAGTAGCGCAAGTTCAAAGAGAGGCAGGAGCAAGATATCTAGACAGATGGAAGCTTGCAACAGTCAGATGTCCAGCTCGGATTTTTCTGATTCTCCAAGTAAACATGAAAAACCTGATGTAGAATTTTTAGACTAGATCTCTTTTCATTCTCTTTTTGAAAGTTGATACCTTCTCCAGGGGTGCTCCTGAAATCTCTGGGACATCTTTGATTAACCTTTACTGCTTTGTTTTAAGTGATAATTTTCTATTTATTTTCATTTTAAAATTTGGATCCTTGAAGGGATTTCTACTGATATCCAAAGGGCTTCTTCACTTTTGAAGAGCAGAACAAACCTTTCAGATACTGTGGAAAGTTAAACAAGAGTTTTATGTGTAAAATGTTCCCTTTTTATACACAGTTTTCCACCTAGAACTAATGTAAAATGACCTTCTGTGTCTCCAGCTAAGGATCCAACTGTTCCTCAGCCTAAGGTAATAAGAAGTGGAGCCCAGGTTGTAGATGTGATGCAGTACACATCCGTGGGTGGGGTTTTCTACTGTGATCTCTTCCACCTCCCACCTCGGCCTATCAGAAGAAAAGGATATACAATACTGCAGGTGATTACATCGACCTTAAACTGCCGTAAGCTGTTCTCATAGCTCAGGTTGAGCAGATCCTTTAAGATTTATGTTTTTTTCTTCCAGCTTGAGGATGGGCTGAGAGTGTTCCCGTACCCAACTGGGAAGCCCAGCAATGAGGCCTGCCCTCCAGTTGGGGTGTCTGTTACCCTTCCTGACTGGATTACAAACGTGGAACCTCCACTTGTGGCTCGTTGGGATGCTGGAGGTACCGACAGCAGAAATCACACGGGTTATTTTACACACTAATATATATATTACTAGATTGGATATGGTTGAAGGATTGTTTTCATGGTCCTTTAACATTTTTATAAAATAAATTAGAAATCCCTCCCCTTCACACTTGCTTTTCGTTGTGTTGGTTTGTGTTATAAAATCCTGACAACATTCCGATTATCATGCAACACAATCCATGGGAAGGAATATGTTTATAGCATTGTTGATTTGATCTTTACACACCCAGATAAGCAGTGGAGATGGGATGGGATCACGGACGTATCCTACGAGAAGGCTGAAGCCAAGATCTCCTTCAAGATGGAGACATTTCAGACCTTTGCGTTGATGCAGAAGACCTACGCCAACCTCCCCTTTCAGGGCTGGGAGCTGCGACCGCTGGGCCAAGATTCTGTTCTTTTTACCATCAAGGGAGCCATCTTTGACATCACCATTACTATCAAGGTAAGAGAGCTGTCCTTACAAGAGGAATCTGATGTATCTTTTGCAGAAATTTGAATCAGAATTACTCAATTTAAGGCAAAAAATTCGATTTTTTTTTTTATTTAAAAAAATAGCTGAATTCAAACTTTTATTGTTAAGTGTTTTTTGGAGACTAAAGACTAAAATAAATAAACAGAAGTTATTCAGTTAAGCGGTAAAAAATGCAATAAGGATGAAGCTTGAGCTTCTTCAGTTGCACACTCCGTAAGTGAAGTCATGTCTTGCACAATAAAAGACAATTTTTTTTTTTTTATTAGTTCTTATCTCACTTTAAAGAAAAAAAAATCATGGATGAATATCACTGCACACATGCAGTTTAACCTTTAAATGTTTTCATTTTCATAATTGTATTTCATTTTTTCTGCTTTTCTTTGTTGCATCATAATGTGAAATGTATTACAGATATTATTCAGTATTATCAAATGTTTTTATTTTAAGATATTTGTCATCATTTCCTCCATTTCTATTGCCTAGAACCTCATCTCTCTTTTACGGCTGCTCTGTAATACCTGCAGCACATCAATCTGATCATTTCAATAGGGTGGAACTAAAGTGCTCTCTCTATCTTGGTCTTATGTTGAAATCTTTCTAGATCACCCACAACATGCCCACTTATTGCAAAAACACAAAATAAAAAAATGCAAATGCAATTTAACACCCATTATAATCTTTGAAGCACATGTTATATATCCAACAACATAAAAATAAACATTTGAATACCGCAGAAAAATAATTAAAGCTATTTTTTTAACAAAAACATTGTAACCTCAAAAGAGGAAATTATGATATGGCCTATATTTGTAATTTCTCACTATCTTGAAATTTTAAAATGTATCTTTTTCATTTGACATGTGATAGTAAAACTCCGAAACGACTGAAAATAGAAAAAATCCTTTCCAATTAAAATTAATACAAACAACATTTGCATTTTACATTATTACATTTTAAACTTTGCATTTGTTGAGTTTGTTAAAAGGTGATAATAAATAAGGTCATTATGAGTAAACCAAAAACAATCTGCTAAAATATGCTCACTGACTTTATGTCTGAAAAGATCTAAAAGAGGGATTTTCCAAGGGATATTAAAGTTAAGGGACCAAAACACTTAATTTAAAGTACATTTCTACAGATTTTCTGTTCCAGATGCTTCTTTAGTGCTCACAGATTTTTTTCGATAGCAAACTTTATTAAAAAAAACAGCATGGATTTACATTTGATTTGCAAATAAACCAACAGATATTAATATTTTCTCCAAGAGGTCATCTGCCTTGTGCCATATAGTTATTTTCCAATACACATTTAACAGTTGGAACATGTTCTTGTTTTAAACCAGATGTCGTAAGTAGATGCTTGGTGTTCACAGTTTGTTTGTTTCAATTCAATGAGCAGAATGATCAGTGCATGCTACAGCTGGAGCAGCAAAGAGGCCTCTCTCACCTCATGGGGAAGTGGATGAGCGGACATGCGCTGCAGAAAGCCATGCTCAAGGCGGGAGTCAACATCTTCGTGAACGAGCACACGCACAAATATGTCAGCTTCTGCAGGAAGGTCTGCATACTTTACTCCTTTCATTTTAGCAAATTTTGCAAACAAAATCAGAGTTCAGGGATTTTTATGCTGTATGCGTTAGGGGTGGTTGACTTTTTGAACAGAAGATGTTCTCTATTTTGCCATGTTTTCTATGGTTAAATGTGCCTAACAACCTTGGATAAAAATCAGTCCAGCAGACAACTGTTAGAATAGGAGTAGATCACTAGATCCAACCTATGCTTTGAAAGGGACCAACATTAAATCAGTGCTGCTACATTTGATGATAGTAGTGTCAATATGAAAATTACATTTTGATCACCTTGGCATCAGAAAATGTTTATCTTGTTTCCAGGAATCGCTTACAGAACAAGTTGTTTATAAACAGATGGCCCTCTTTGCATCTGCTTGTGCTTTCTCATGGAGCAAGTGGAATGCCAAATGTGGAGAGGAGCATCTCGTTCTTCAGGTATTTTGGATTTTGCTGCAAACTTCATTTTACTGTGAACAAAACACAAACTATTTCTTTGAGGCATGTTGATGTATGACAACCAGTCTGCAATAAATCGGCAGCAACATGTCTGGTTTGCTTTATCGACTTCAGCTTTGCTAAGGTCTGGAATAAAGTTGCAGAGTTTTTAAAGAACAGTTATGGAATTAAACTATCCTGAGCTTCAGTATCCTGACAAAGGATAAAGCATGGGATGTTGTGGCAACACCTCACTGTAGGGGTGCTTTTCTTCAGCAAGGAGAGGGAAGACGGCTAAAGTTGATGAGAAGAAAAAGTAAAAAAAAAAAGGGTAGACCTGGATAAAAATAAAAAGTGTCTGAAAGAGTTGAGACTGACGTTGAAAGTTTAAACGGTGGTCAAAGGGAGAGATCCATCCGTTGTCATGGCGTCTCCAGGCAAAAACATTCAGGTGATAGAATGACCCAATCAAAGTTCAGCGTCAATTGTAATTTTTTGCCAAACTTGAACATTTCTATTGGTGGTAAAGAATTAATCCAAAGGTATTTGTGGGGCTACAAAGATATGCAAATCTTAATTTTTTTGAATTTCACTTTTTCATAAAGGTTGAAAAGTTTGCATTTATTTGCTCCTAATTCACAGTTTAGCAGTAGTTTGCATTGGTATGTTACATAAAATGTACCAGAAACATGTTGAACCTCTTAGCTTTCATGAATACTTCTGCAAAACTTCGGCAAAGCTGTGGCCATGGCAAAGATTAAAGATAGAGCTAATAGCCCAAAGCAGCTCGTCTTCATCTCTCTGTTGTTTTCATTCCTCTTTCCATCCATCCCAGGTGTGTGAGCACCATGACCCCTCCCCTGTACCTGAAGTGTTGTGGGGCGTATACCTCGTGGGTGCAGAGAAGAGTCAGAAACTAAAGATTACAGAGAACAGTGAAGCTTTTTCTCCAGACCATGTTCCTGGCAGCCTGGTCCACAACACCTTCATCCACATGCTAGAGGATAATATGAGCCCTGATGGAATAGATATGACCAGACATTCCAATTATTGTTTTGTTGATACTGTACAGAACCTGCTGTGTGCCACCAGACCCCTGGTTTTTTCATAGATTCTGCCAACAAACCTTTACAGAGATTCATTTAAACAGAAGTTGGCTCTATCCATCAAATAGGCATAGTTGGTTTTACAGGATTTCCTTAAGAGGTATTTAAGTTTCTAAAAGACCCTTGGAAACAAATTTCCGCTGCAGTGGTGAAAAATCTAAATATGAATACTTTAGTCAGTCTTTTCAGAGTTGTTTTGACAGGAAAACTGCTAATCCTGATGGAGAACTTTGATGAATCCTCTCTGTTCTTTCTGTTGTTGCCTTTAAGCTGGTTTCAGATTGTTAGAACTTTACCATCCTCTGAGCAGGAGTGTTGATGTGTTTAACTATGCACCAGCACAAAGCTTTTGTCCTGTAGCTTCTCCAATTTAATGTTTTATTTTTAAGTTTTTTATTTTTATTTTTTAAGTTTAATTGATTTGTTCTATGATATATGAATGTACTGTGTATGTGTTGATTGTTGAACTAACAGGGCTGTGATAAGGACTGCCACAGATTAAAAGGTACATTTTGTTCATTAAATATTTGCTTTTAATTTTGAATTCATTGTCTGCACATATAAAAAGGGACTTGTTGGTCCTGTAAGTGGTTCCCATATAAGCTGAAAGCTTTTTGTCACTGTTGAGACTGTCTGCAATGATAGGAGAGAGAAAGAGATTTAAAAAGTGACAGAAACAGGTGGATTGTTTTTTTTTGAAGAATTTGGAATCACTGGTAGCAGCACAATCAATATCCACCCACAGGACGGTGATGTAATTAGAACAAAGAGAAAGACATGAAAAAAGGTTAACCTTTGAAGTAACTGTAGATAATCCAACATTTCAGTGAGGTAAAGAGGTAATTATGCTGAGAATGGGCCAAAAACTTTCCCTTTAACAAGGCATAAAGTTAGTGGCTGATCCATCTCTGTTTTTCTACTGCTATTGGCTTGGCTAATAGCAGTACCAGTCTGCTAAAAAAAACCTGTTATCCTAGCCTGAAAGCAGGAAGTGCCTGCCTCATGGACTAACGCTGCAAGTTGCTTCCAAAGATGAGGAGCCTGATCTGCCAACCATTATACTTTTAGAAGCTTTAGGAACCACAATTCTAACCTGCACTTTGGGAGCAAAATTGCTGCAAAGCAATGTGGACACATGACACAGCTTATTAAAAAAAACATTTATTTTCTGTGAACAGTGCATTGATATAGTATAGTACAGAGGCTCCAGCAGTAACTTGACATTTGCTCTAAACATGTATTAATAAGGATTATACCTCCACTTCATTATACAAAACTCAGTCATTCTAGAGTAACAATCAGATGATAACAGAAAGCACACAGCCCTTTGAATCTTAAGGATTACAATCTGAATAAAACAAGAATATGACGTGAAATCTCTAAAAAAAATATGATTTGCACCAAAACACTAAATTTAAGAGGAGTCTAGGTGCTACTGCACCACCTGAATGGCTTTGAATAAAAGTTTTAGGGCCAGCCTGGATAAAGATGGCTATTGGGCCTCATTAACAGAATATGTCAAGAACATTCAGTAAAAAAGAATGCTGTGATGGGTAAGGAACTGTGGTGGCAGCATCATGCTGTGGGGTTTTAACCAATCCAAAAATGCATTTGGGAAATTTTTGTTTAAAAGTACATCTTTAGCAAAGAAGAATGGTTTTCTTTCCAACCGAGCAATAGCACATCAGACTGAGTGTGTCCAGTCTTAACATGATGACTTGATGAGATGAATGGAGTCTAGTGTGCTATTGCTTGGTTGGAAAGAAACCTGCAGCCACACGGTCCTTTCTGGAACTAGTTTGACACCCCTGTTTTCTGAAAGCTAGGGGATCTTACCAAAAGGGTTTGAAGGGAACATTAATTACACTGAAGTCTCTACTCCTTGCCTTCACGCGTCCCTTTTTAGAAAAATAATGTTCATCCTTAATTCTCGGGCTCGTAGTAACGCTTCTTCATGGCCCGATATTTTCGGAGGAAATAAAGGGCCTCCAGCTCTTTGATGACGTGGTCTCCCCTGGCAACCAGCTGTTTGATTTTCTCAGGGTCGGTCTCGTCTTTGTTCTTCATAAAAGCGGACTTTAGGCGTTCTCTGAAATACGCCGCTCCCTTTGGGTACTCACGGCCAAGATACAGCAGCTGGAGGATTAGAAAAAAATTTTCAGTTCACAGAGTTAAATATTTTTTATTAAACTGAAGTTAGGTTCTGTGAATTGCGGGAATGACACACCACGCTGGAAGAAGCAGTGGTTTATTTCTATAGTAAAAACGGGGCAAATAACGAAGCAATATGACAGCTGGAGTCCTTACTACTGTGCTAAAGTAACTGCTGAAATGGTCAAACATGAACAAAATAAAATGCAAATAGGAAGAGAATAATGGAAACATTTTCACATATAGAAACAATATATATATATATATATATATATATATATATATATAAATAAACAGACATCACAGTCAGATATGTCTGGAACCATTTTTTTTTACTGTTTTTTTCCCCATATCACATTATATTGTGGTTTAAAGTCAAAGGAAGGGCAAGTTTATATCTCAACCCCATAAATTATTATTTCAAAAGCTTTAGGAAAGTAAAGCATCCATATATTCAAAAGTATAAACGTGCTTCATCGTCATTTTACCCGTTTTTAATCTATGCCTGCCATCAGCAGTAAGGAAGCAGTGATCAGAACTCACAGTTTTGTACAGTCTAATAACTTCACCCTTTAAAGGGTTTGCCATGTCACAAACCAAAGAAGCCGCCCGCCTTTCTGGAAAAAAGGAAAGAAAAAATGGAGGTGTGAAGACAAACAGATATCAGATATTTTAAGCTTCGATGCATCGCTAACTAAGCGGATTTATACTGACAGGAAAATGTGAACAAGCAGCTGAGAGAAGATCTTCTTTTCTCCGTTTCCACCTTGTCCTCAGTTCACGTTACACACTCTGCCGTGTGACGTCCCGTACTGTCGCAAATATAAACATAAGAACGCGCATGCGCACAAACTGCCGTAATTAAGTGTTCGATTGAGTTTCCTTTTTTTATTTTTCTAAGTGAAAAGTTTTATTTCGCTGCCAGCCCGCGCTGCTATATGATATTTTGTGGTGCTATCGTTATATAAGTGAATATAATAGAATAGAAAATCCTTTATTGTCCCACAATGGGGAAACTGGTGTTTACAGCAGCAAAAAGGTTATAGAAAAAATTATGACACAAATGTGGACCTTAGAAATATGTATAAGAATAACATAATAGTGAATAATTAAAAGATAAACAAGGATGAAGTGCAAAAGAAAAACCTCTTCATTACTTTTTTGCAGTCTTTCTTAAGGAACAGTATGGCTGTGACAGCATGTCACATCAACCATAATGCATCAATAGTATTCTTAAAAAAATACACAGAATTAAAAATAAGGTTTTTAGGACACAAGTTCAAGAAGTGGGATTGATATTTCTAAAAATCTCACAGTAACCTTCTGTTTTAAAGTTGCCAACTCCCCCATAGAAATAAAGGAAGCAAGACTGAGAAAGTAAATATTCTCACAACTAAATATTTTTTAGTTTTTAAACACAACTAATTCTAATTTATCCTATAGAAGGTAAATTAAAATTATCATCATGACAAAAAAAAATATCCTAATGTATCTATTTTAAATGCATGCATTTAGAATTCATTTTTTCGTTTATTGATTTTATCGAATACCTACTCTGGTTTTTTCCCATTGAAACATTTTTTTTTTTTAGGTAAAAAAAAAAATGATGGATTTCAGATTTCCATCCTTTTTAACATCCTACAGCTACACCACATTAGACTACATCTTCTAGCTTTATTTCTGTAAAATCATTCTTTAACTCTCTTCTAAACATAGGCAGATACGTTGATCTATTTTAAACACATGGCTTAACTAATGACCACTGATTACATAAGGTGACAGTCTCACAAGTTAAATAAAATATTAGAAACTTCTATACAACTATTTTGATTTCTCTTTAAGAATAATAATCTACAAAGAACAACAGAAAAACAAAAAAAACAAAACAATTATGCTATTGAAAACCGGCTGTAGCGTGGCACATAAGAGATCAGCCTGGTTAGGATTAGATTAAATAAAAATTCAGCCTCTGCTTGTGTTTCTGAGAAACCATTGATACTTAGCTTCTCTCAATTATTTCAAAAAGGTTGTGAGATTTTTCTAATTAAGGATGTTCCACTAAAGCCAACACCTCAGATACAGAGACAGTCTTTATCAAAGACTAGGGAGCCTTTAGTTCCTCTTCCAAGACTGTTTTTTAACAACTTGCTTAGCAAATATTGCATTTTAAAGATGTATAACATATGTATGTGGTTAAGCCCATGTTAATATGCCGTGACACCAAATCCCATAATGCTTTGCGAGGAGAGCTCTCAACGCAAAGCATTCCCTTATACGGTATATCTGCTCGGATGATCCTTACTTTTCAAGGTGCATTGTGGGAATTTCGAGTCCACTACTTTTTTATCCACTAGATGTTTGGAAACTCATCTAAAATGGTGTAATCACTATATAGTGCCCTATTAGTGCACTACGTAGTGATTAGAGCGGACATTTGGACACCATCTATATTGCATTTTGGGATCCATTTTTGTATCAATGAAACTATATCTATAAACGATGCATTACATGAAAGTGTTGAATTTGAAAAAGTTTCTAAATATTCATCTGTCAATAATTTGATATATATATATTTATTTTCTGAATATATATCATGTGGACTAGACATAAGCATTTGATCAGTTTTAATTTTCCTGTGGGGGCTGCTAAGTCGCAGTGGATGGCACTGCTGCCTTGCAGCAAGTAGGTTCTGGGTTCAATTCCCAGCCCGGGGTCTTTCTGCATGGAGTTTGTATGTTCTCCCTGAGCATGCGTGGATTCTCCAGCTTCCTCTCACAGTCTAAACACATGACTGTTAGGTTTATTGGCTTCTCTAAATTCTCCTTAGGTGAGAGTGTGTTTGTGGATGGTTGTTTGTCTCTCTGTTGCCCTGTGATGGACTGGCGACCTGTCCAGGGTGTACCCTGCCTCTCGCCTGTAGACAGCTGGAGCACCCCTGTGACCCCACTTGGGGGGTGCGCGTGTCAGTAAATGGATGGATGGATGCATTTTCCTGTGTAAAAGAAACTTTTATGGGTAGGGCCCCTAATCCTGCTGCAGCTAATCCTAAATCCAGTCCTGGTTCAAAAGAGCTAGTTGGATAAACCTTTCTGTTCTCCATTTGGCCTTCCTGTAACTCACTTTAAGTAAGTTACAGGACGTTACTTAAAGTCTTGTGCTCTCTCACAACCTGAAGTATAACCATGTCTCAAATGTTGTGGAAAACAAAGACTCCTTTAAATAGCTTTGTGCTTTCACTACTTCATTGTAAACACCCTACTAACGCTGATTAACTTTGAAATTCAGGAACATCGTCCAAACCAAAGAATGTTGTTTTCTGGGTGTCCTGGTGATACGAAAGTGTGGAGTGCTCACCTTTTGGAGAACCAGTTCATTTTTTATTGCATCTACAGTCATTGCTTTAATGAAATCTTACTTATCAGCTACCACCTATGTAGAAGAAACAATTTCCAGATCTAAATTAAATCAAGCTAACATTTTAGGAGAAAACCACACAACATTTTTCAGTGCTTTATTCACTCTTTCTCACAATTTATCATCGTTAAAACATTTTCATCGACAGAACACACCTGATCAGACACAGGATCCATCAGAGTCCTGCATCGGCCAACTAGTTCAAGAAGCACAAACTCAAGATAAGCCTGCACCGATCGGATAGCGATATATACATATGCAATTCAATACCAACAATAATCCACTGTTTGGTTCCCTTCTCATTAGCAAATAGCAACAAAAAAAAGGCTTTGTTTACGCTCTAACAAGGTGCTCTGTTAATTTTGTGTTTCACAATCATTTCAGAAAACATTTTCAAAAAAATTTTTTTTTCAAAAACTTTCCCTTTAACTTTGAGTTACTTGGCAACTTTCTTTTGTCTTTATTGTCTTTTTTTCCTGAAAAATCGAGCGTGAACAAAACCTACTTTAACAGAAATCAAGCAGATGCTTGGTCAAGGCCATTTCTACCTCTGAGAGCAAACTCTCAGGCTAAGGTTAAAGGCAAGCGAAGCAACATTAACAGGAGCTGTATCATAGCTGATCAGTGTATTACACTATGTAGATAAAGGCATAGTCTGCTATTACTTATCAGGTGTAAGCCTTTGCAAATAATACATTTAAAGTGGCTTCATTCTTTAATACACACCGTGTACGAAGTGTACCCAGCAGGAGGTGAGTAGCTAATGCACACACACACATCGTAGTGATGTTTAACATCAAAATAAACCAAAACAAGCTATTGCACAAGTACCCAGATATACTCAACTTTGCAAAAAAAGCAAATGTTGGATGTTTTCACACAAATATCCCTAAAATGTATACAAAGCTATAAACAGCACAAAATGGCATCATGTACAGCAAATAATGAGCTAAAAGAAAAGTGAATATGGGCTTTTTTAGATGAAAATTGAAAGAATATTGAGCCAATGGACAGCCTGCCAAAGTTTGAATTTTTGTATGAATTTGTTATTTTTTAGGAAATATTACAAATGACAAGCGGATACGATAGCAAATAGCTTTGACTGAAAAACCCACTGAAGTGTTGGTCCAAAAAAAGTTTCAAAACACACGGGATGTCTTCTCTTTAAAAATAGGAAGAAAAAAACAAGACAGCCTGGTAATGATGATGCTGTTAAACCCGTTTTTTTCTCATTCATGTAGACATGGTAATTCAGATTGAAAAAGATTAAGTCTCAAACTTTGGCAAATATCAGCAATGATGTTCCAAAGCCCAGATTTTCATGTACACAATTCCTGTCATGCATCAACACGAAATAAATAAATACAGCCATGACACTGGTTGTGTCCAAATTGTGACAAAAACTGTGAACTATGATGCAGTGCAGCATAATTACTGAAGAAACATCGTTATTGCACATGCTCGTACGACTAACCCCGCTGGGCAGAGAGTACGTGTGATCGGCCTGCTTCCTCTGGTAACCCCAACTCCCAGTTCTGCTTGGTTTATGAGTTTTTTTTTTCTGTTTTTGCAAATTTTGAGACACAAAAAAATGGGGGCATAGGACTTTGCTGTAGCATCACTCAACAACAAATCAACTTAGCTACTGAATGCCTTACTATTTATTAGCTTTCTCCACAAGAACAGCAAGCACACAGCCCAAATACAGTACATTCCTCGTCTAGGGAGAGATTGCTTAAGTCACTTTTCTTTGCATTGCATCTGCAAAAAACTTTACTGCCACAAGTTAGAGAATTGCATTTTAGTGGCAGCTTTAGGGGGAATTGATTTGTCTTTGAGTGCGCTATTTGATCACACACAAATAGATGACTATATGTGTATGCACCTGTGTGAAGAATACTTCTCAAATCCACTTTAAACATTCACAAACCCTCTTTGTCTACAGGCTGTCCGGCTCTGTGTGGGTTCAGATGGGAGACGACTCTGTACCTGAAATACTTTTGAAACCCACTAGAAACAGTTACAATCACAGCCGGAGATTAAAGGCATCTTCAGACACTTTGGTCTTCAGGACGCACATCCCTGAAACCATCAGAAGCACTTTTCAAATTGCCTCTCAGTCTAACACACAGCAAGGCAAACTGCTGACAGTTTCACTCAAAGACAAAACAAATGAGGTGGGAAGAGGAGGAAGGGGGGCTGGAGGTTCAGCTTATACTGTGACTGTATTGTCCCAAAGAGGAAAGGGTTAATTGGAGGGAAAAGCTGATATAGGTTAAATTGAAAAGGGCAGGCTGGTGTGCAGGATGCAGAGGAGGTACGGTTTAAGCAGAGAGGTCAGAGATGGGAGCACTTGGGTTTGGTGCTTTGAACGTCTAAAG